TAATTTAATAATAACATAATTTTAATGTACATAATTTGCACTTTTCAGGTTTTGGCTAGAATTTCATTGAAATTCGCTGCTGTATGCCTATCGACGTAAAGCTATCGACTTCGCCACGGTCGGTCCGCGCGATGCGGTCGAAGTTTGGAGCGATCTTCAAGTGAAAATTAGAAAAATTTTTTTCAAGGTTAACCTCAGTAAAGAAATATAAATATGGTAAAAACAATAAAATTGTGCAAAATGTATTAATATTAACACATTAACGGCGGGCGATCTCGACGAAAGTATGCTAGGTAGCGCGGCGGCCGCCCGCCTCGTTTTTCGGCCTAGAGCAGGCGATATTTTGTGTGATCATAAAAACTTTAAGGTACAGTCGAGCTAAATCGTATTACTACGACTCCCGTCTTTAAGCCGCAGTCGAGCTAAATCGTATTACTACGACTCCCGCCTTTAAGCCGCAGTCGAGATAAATCGTAGTACTACGACTCCCGCCCTTAATGTGTTAACATAAACAGACAAGAAAAACGAAAAAGATTGCGCGTCCGCGAAAATTCACACAAATTAAAATTCCTATCGAGAGTTCCGATGGCAAACAAATGACAGTCAATTATGGAGATCTTAGCATTCGTTTTCAATAAATTATTTTTTTTTTCTAATGTGTATCGTTCCAAAAAATGTAAAACTACTGTCATCAGTTTGCCCAAATTATCGGGGTGGTAGATATTTTAATTTGTATAAATGTTGGCGCGCGTGTAATCTTCTTCCATTTTTCTCGCCTGTTTATCTTAATATTGACACGATTTTATCGTTTCAATATTAAGATAAACAGGCGTTTTATCTTAATATTTTGCACGATTTTATCGTTTCTTTCATATTTTTTTTTACCGAGATTAAGCTAGAAACAAAATGTTTAATTTTCGGACGCTTCAAACTCCACCGACATCAGCGCGACGTTTCTCTTTTCATCTCGCGGCAGCCGCTGCGTTTTCTCCGTATGCGTGCGTGCGTGCATGCCAGGCGACGCTGGAAATGAACCTCGCGCGCATAATATGCAACGATCGCGGCACACATCGATACGTTCCATCGGGCGACTTTTGCGCTCGGCACTTGGCGTTGTTGACTTTCTCACGCAACATTCGAAATTTTCACCTGAATCGCGTGCGCGTCGACAGTCCCCCAGTTCGACGTGGCGCTCGCGTGATTCCGCCCCTTGGCACGACACCGGCCTTTTCCTTTTTGTTAAATAACCGCCGAGCGTATCCGGCCGAGCGGAGAGTCCATCAACCACAAGCCGCCAACTCGACCGCGTGCTTCTCACCCCCGGATCGCCAGATTATTACCGTGGCCCCCGCTAGGTCAAGGATGCTATTCGGCCCTGGATTAGCTTACCGCGAGTTTTATCCTCGCGAATATCCTCGCTGTCGCGCAGGTATTGCGAGCATTCCCGGACAAAAGAAAGCATTGTACAAACAATCCGTACGCGATACCAAAGGGAGCGGTACGGATCGTGTAAATGCGATTTACATGAAACGGCCGATTACATAATAGTCGCGCCACGTTACGTATTGTCCGTCGCAAAATGTCATCGCGATAAACGGTTTATTCGCAAATGCGGACGCACCGTCAGTAAACAGCGGTTCATATAATATATCCCAGGTTGAATCATACTTCCAGCGGAATACGTTCAGTATTTATAACTTGCATCATACAATATTTATAACTGCAACTCGTGGAAAACGCGAACTTGTCGAACAGGCCGCGGAGTGGGGTCACTTATGTATTACCCGCCTATGTGTATGTTTTCGCAGTATCGGATACGCAAGTCACACTTGTCACAGGATTTCGAATTGAGACAGGCGCATGGAATACCTGCTGAACTACATCTACATCTCGCGATACGAGTGGTCTTTTCGTTGGTTTCCTTCAAAGCCGAGGCCTTCGCCTTCCTAAATGGAACGATTATCTCGAAAACGCTAAGCAGACCGAGTGAATTATATTACGCGATCTCGAAGATAGGAGGAAGAAATATAAAATAATTACAGGGGCTCGTAGAACCGGCGACACTCGTGCGGATTTATTATTCGGCGGGATTAAGGCGCGGTGAGACCAAACGAGAGCGTATTTTCAGAAAAAGAGAGAGAAAGGGCGGTTCTCGGGGTGGACATTTTTCTTTTCTTCACTTCAATTTTGTCCCCGGTGAAAGTTCATTTCCTTTAGCCTTGATGTTCCCGGAGGCAGGGGGGGAGGGAGGGGTACAAACGGGGACTGTTGGCTGTATAAGACGCGCGACGTGATGTTATTACTCCCCGATAATGAACAGTCCCAGAGAGGTAACTCGGCGGAGCCGCTCGGAATTCAAGAGGATCATTCCGCCAAATGACGAATCGCTTATCTAGACCCTTTTACTACGGCAGGGCTCTCGGCAGCCTTCGGTCTTTGCAACGCGAGCTGCGAATACGTATTCGCGAAACTAATCGGACAGCCGGGCGTATTTTCGTCGTGCCGCGTTATCGTTATCGTTACGGATCTCGATTACAGTGTAATGAGGATACGGCGACGAGAGTCGGGAGGGATCGCGTTTCGGCGGTGTGAACGTGGCGAAATTTATTTACCTTTGTAATCCGTCGGGCTACGTTCAATTTAACATTACGACCGTCGCTCGCGCCGCGAACGAGTAACACGCTTTTACCGACGCGAATTTCCGCCGCGCCGCGTTATCTGACGTATTCGTTAGCGAAATTACGCGACGTGAATGCGAGACGCGGCCGAAATTAATTTCTATAAATATCTCAGAAATCTCCGGGACAGTACGCGCAACAGGAAGGAACGTAATTGAATTAACGATACGTTCGGTGAGATATATCGCCTTCCCCGTTTTATTCTCTTCTGCATCTCTAAATGAGCCGCGTTTGCTCGGTGATTCATGATGTAAATCGTCCTCGTCAGATGATTCACGATAACCAAAAGCCAGATAATATTGATTGGTAACACGGAATAAAGGAATTAGCTGTCCATATAATACAGCCAAGATTTACCAGAGCTAGTTTTTAGCTATGCATGGAAGCTAAACAGAATTAGAATTAATATATAATTTAATAGAATTATATTATATTATATTATAATAAGATTATATTATAATATATTATAATACGATTTCTAGCTGCGGAAGTTAATTCTTCTCTGTAGATGCGTCTCCCTCTGTCAGACTCCTCGTATAAACAATCACGCGTAAGTTTCGGGAATTCTGAAAGATAAACCGGCCATGAAAATACGATGCCTCTTCCGTAGAACGTAATGTAGAACAGTCCGCGTATTAATGAACAACGTCAATCACTATTATCTTATTAGCGTGAGTTTGCCATCGATCTGTCCTCCCCGAATTTCCCACAGCGCGAAATCCTTCGGGGATGCCGGAAATCGATGGAACGAGGGCTGGAAAGCGCAAGTACGCGCTAGCGAGGAATGATTCGCTGCAATCCGTGACAAAAACGGCGCACGGGAGAAATGCAAAAAGCCCCATAGCTCTCAATACAATATCTCTCAGGAAGTATTTTACGGAAATAAATTCTTTGATAAATAAGACACAGAGCCGATATAGTCTTCCACGGTATCTCGTGCCGACGTTATTCCTCGCGCGGATATGTCGCGCGGGACTCTCATTGCGATTTATGGCACCCCCGAGAGATCAACAAAACGCGACTGTTCTAAACACCGGCGATACCGCGGCGAAACTTTCGAATTCGAGCGATCCAAAGTTGCGACGACACGCCGAAGTTACAACGGCACACTCGCGCGGAACGTTCTCGGGATTCCCGGCGCGACATTCGTGTCAATCGTGTACAACAATACTGGCGTTACTGTAATGGAAGCAGCAACAAGCACGGCCAGAAACGGCGCGAATAGACGCGGTGTGGACGTTAAAATTGCCGAAGAGCTCATGGGATTGTATCACCGCGGTGGTTTCCAAAAGTTGCAATCTGCGCTCGCTCCCCTTCCACTCCGCCCGATAATCCCGCTCTCCGTGGCATTCCGAACAAGAGGCATGTCCTTTTTAACTGAACTACCTGCACTAGTTCAAGAAGTGTACACTGAAGCGTTCTTTTTGACGGGAATAGCTGTTCTTTTTAATAATAGAGAAGTACTCGGTGCTATAGCTCACTGAGCTGGCTGCCTAGATTTCACCTAGGTTTTGAACCAGTACAAAAGACTCCACGAGGCCATTGAACAATTACGTCTTATCATGGAGAAGAAGGGAGGATCTATTAGCTTGGGTGACGGTCTGTGATAGCAGAGAAGGGGGAGTAAAAGTTACGGAAAGCCACATTAGACAGCATAATTTGTAAAATGGATAGCCTGATTATCCACTTTATTTACATTCGGTGAACATTTTTAAGTTTTGACATGGTTTTGTGTTAATAAACAAAATGTTAATTCTTAAATATTTATTCTCTTAAAAACCCTTTTACTAATTAAAATTATAAAATAAAGCAATTAATTTGAGATATTATATATCTAAAAGTTATTTGTATTTTAGAAAAAGAGTATAATAACGGGCAATCTAATAATTATTATTCGCAATATGTTTATAACCATCTTTTGGTTCTGTATAGGCGGAAGGGAGAGAGGTGTTATTCCATACATCACGTAATATTGGAAGAAGGCAAATATTTTATGACAAAGGCAAGGATAAATATTCAAATTTAGCGTGATGTAATTGTTGAATGTCCCACTAATGCTCTCCTATTTCCTATGCATAATAACATTGAAAATGTCTAATTAGGCGCGTTATTTTTCAGTATTTATACTGTTGCTTTGGAATATTGTTGTCGATTCATCAAATTATCAACAGATCACTGTACCGGTTTTTAAATCTTTTTCTGTACACTTGCACTGGCAGAACTCTATGCTGTCATCAACAGTTCGAGTTCAGTTCGGTGCAATCCCAGTTGAGAGAAAAAGAATAAACGTAAAGGGCACTGTGTGAATGCGCTCGCGCTCACCATTGCGTGATAAAATCCGTCCCAATGGTGAAGACCGGCGCGGAAGTGCGATTGACCTCGGTGCCATTCAGGCTGCTTTCGGTGCCGTTCATCTCCATTCCACCAGAAGTGGCAGCCGAGGTGGCAGCAACCTTCGATGCCACTGCGCCCTCTCCTCCTCCTCAGCACCCAGTCACCTCTCGGACATCCTGGAAGCACGCGAGCCATAATAGAAACACATCATTCGAGCATCTCGAGGTGCGTAACGAGTTTCGAGAGACACTCGCGCGTCTTACCGACGTGCATATTTGGAAAACGGGCTATTCTTCGCGACGAAAAATTGATTCGAGACTCGTTGGTTGTGGGAACGTTTAGGCCAACAGGAGCCAACGCAGGATTTGGGACACGATAATTTAATCTGCTGTAGGATAATAGTGTTCAACGGGAAGGCGATACGCGCCGAGGTCTTCTCTCTCGGACTTCCTTAACGTCGCTTTTTCTCCACAGGAAGCCTCGCGAACGTTTGCTGTTATTTATTTTATTTATGCCAATGTTTCTCTCCCCCCCCTCCCCTCCCCTTTGATTCTCGATATCAAGAGTCTTCGCGATTAAACGTCGATAAGCCTTCCCTTTTTATCTTTTGTTTACTTGTCCTACGTATTTCTTTATCGAAGCAAACGAGTCGGTTAACAAATGCAGAAAAAGCCGCGAATGCGAAAAATGAGACTTCCTATCCTGGCACGTAATAACGATTGAGAATTATTGTTGCAAATAGAATTGCGCAGCAAGCAGGCTTAAGTCTGACTGCTATTAAACACGAATTAAGATAACTCGAAGTGCTGCTGTCGATAATAGATATCTTACAAATTGCTGAGATGGAATTGCCAAGGTCAAGCAAATAAAACGCAAAAACTTTGCGTGTGGCACGACGGGTCGCGCTTTATATTTATGGTTACGTCTCAGAAAAAGTGGCCATTGTAGAGGCTTAACCCTGACGCTACAAGCGTACGCCTCCCAAACGTATTTCCACAGTTTCCTTCTTTCCCTTCTTCTTCCAGCAACTACGGTCGCCGAATCACGCGTGTATTCTTCCGCTGATCAATTGGCCTCAAAACTAGGTCAGTGGCGGACCTAACAAAATTGCTTACCTTATAGATAATTCATACCTCGAGCGATAAGCGTTGATTTTTTATGTCAATAATTGAGATCAAAACGACAGAAAGTCAAATCGTAAAAAGTCAAAGAATAAATCAAGTCAGAAATATGGTATAAAATAATTGGTATAAAATCGGCCAGTCTGTGCTATATTAATGTATATATTATCGTCATGCTAAAGGATTGATAATTTCATAATTTTATGTAGACAGAAACGCGAGAATAGCTCGCTTAAAGAATTCTAGTGAAATTCTGGCACTTCGATATCCCCTTAAGTATAACGCTGCTTGTAAAAAAAATATAAAAGAAAGGGGGAAAGAGAAAATGCCGTCGATAGAAGGCATCTGTCGTCGCTTAATTGCTCGCGTGTGACCCCACGAATAAATTTCTATGTCTATAATTTAAAGGTACATATATACTTCATTTCGACTCGTCGCTGTAACGCGAGCTACGACACGATAAAATTGATTGTGACCTCCGGCGCGAGATGTATCGCGTTTTCCCCCCGATTACGAATATAATGTGAATTTTTTCGCGAACGCAATAGGAATTACCTTATAATACAGAATTATGCGAGCTGACTCGACTGAACTGCCACATAAGCTCTCGTTCCGCGGCTGTACCTCATGTAATACATATTAAGATCCTATAAAAAAGGGGGAGGAAAAAAATTAATTTCTCCCAGTCATGCCTCGTGTATTCGGTCAATGGTATTCCGACGTCAATCGTATGACGATATTATCACACGTCGCCAATGCGGACCCGATGATGTTAATGCCGCCGAAAGGCGAGCGCGGTAATACTCGTTCGCAATTCGTTCAAATCTATTAAGGCCTTTACGCGTGACTAAATTGATAACCGGCAGGTTATCAATTTGCTGAACTCTTTGACTCGGTCTAGGTGTTGATTCCAGACGCTTCTTGGTTCGAAACGCGCGTCGTTCTCGTTATTAAACGTATATATAAGAACATTATAAAATTTCAGGATTTACCATCAAAGCCTTTCCGTGAGAATAGACAAACTACGTTAATATGTTTTAAGTTTATGAACATTTTATAATCGCTAAATAATTGCGCGTTCGTGGTATCGGGGACATTTTGGAAATATTCAGTTTCTCGCGCCCGCAACTGCACGAGCTAGTCGCGACCAGGTCTGCGAAATTAATAATAACAGCGTCGCGATTCTGTGCATTTTTTATGTTTTTTAAATTCGTGAAAAATTCGAGTTGTATGATTGTGGAAAAGCGCACGTTGGAGGCGCGACCGTACTAACGTGCGTCGAAGTGAAAGAAAAAATTTCTCGCACAAGATCGCCCGAACCTTCGGCTGATTGCACGCGGATATAAATTTAGAAATAATGTAACGCATTCCTACGCCCGTCAAACCTATATCATTTCTGAGTCTGTTGCATATGAATTTTCGTTGAATTCTAATCGGGAGGTCAAACGCGCTGCTTGTCGCGTTACGTTTACGTGTTAACGCCGTAATACGTCGGCGAAAGCCCGGCATTAGCTGTGCAAAGTCTTCGTCAAAGAGCGCCGGCATCGTAATTACATTTCATACTTGGCAATTTTCCCCTTTGCCGGCCCGTTGTTTAAAGATGACGAGCGACGCGCCCGATTGCCGCCGCGCTGCGAGATTCATTATCGCTATCCCCCGCCGATTTTCTACCCCGGCGAAACGCGGCTCATTCGTTTGTACACACACGCGTATGTAAACGCGATCGATGGCGTTACATATTTTCCGTATAGTAACGCAATTCAACGGAGTGTACGTTGCAACGCAGCCCGATACATATTTATGAGTTTGGAGAAGTGACACGCAATATTTATCAGATTGACAAGCACTTCTTTCAGCACATTATTTTCTTCGTTCCGTGATCAGTGATAACGTATCTGTATGATAATATCGTTATCTCTCGACAATCTCGCGACGACGACAACGACGACGATGAGTGCAAGAGACGCTCCCTGAAAACGTTCGTTTCTTCCCAATGTAAGAACCGCTAATGCGTTTATCGATTTGCCAACGGGAGAAAATATGACAAACTTTACGCAGGACGCAGTCGAGTAGACCTTAAAGGCTGTGGAATAGAAAAACGCAATAAGACTCAGGCAGTAAGGAAGTTGGCCAACCAATCATCAAATATATTTCTTTAGGTTTACATACTCCAAAAGACGATCAAAGTGACGACAAGTTTGGCCTTAAGCATTTAAATTTGTCGAAATTTACTAACTACTTCTGCTTAAAAAACAAGCTCAAACTTATCGTCACTTCCCGAGTTGAAATTTTGGTTCCACATTAAATCTTCAAGTGGAGAAGACGGAAATAACTTCTCATTTGTAGCATCAAAGGAGCACCAATAGTGCTTTTTTAACGCTACTAAAGGGAATTTAGACCTCTCGGGGGGAATTTTAAATTCTACATTGAGTCTTCAAGTAGAGAGAATGAAAGTAACTTCGCATTTGTAGCATCAAAGAGAGTACAATAGAAGACTTTTGAAGACTTAATGCAGAATTAAATAGATTTAACGTATAACTGAAATTTCAGGCTTGTTTGGCTACACAGATATACGCTACGCATGTGGTAGTGGCATCTCGACAGTGATGGAGATTCCCACGTCCCATGCTCAGTGAACCCTTAGATCTGATTGGTATATACTTTTGGATTTGGAAGTACAAACAAATCACAACTGAAAAGAAACGAATGAACAACGAGCGCCAAAGCGAACATTCGAATATTCGCTTTCGATGTTCGTTCGCTTTTCGTTCGTTAGGTATTTACGCACCTTGACAGCGCGCAGTCAGTAACGCGTCGAAAACGGAAAGAATATTTCATGCAAACGAAACCGATCGAACCGATATGCGGCTGCATAAAAGAAAGAAATTTATCTCCGTCGCTTAACGAGAACCCAATTAGCATGAGCTATTATTACATTATCCTAGAATATCAGAGATCCCTTCCTGTCCCTCTTTCTTTTTTCTCTCTCTGTCTCTCTCTTTCTCTCTCTCTTCTGCTCATGAAATGAAAGCTCGGCGTCTCTTCAGCCGGTAACACATTGGTGGTAACTGTAACATATTTTATTCCGGTCTAGATTATAAAGCGCGCATAAATGCATTACTACGGAAAATGAGATATTACGTTGAAGTCTCCCGACGTGTATTATGTTTAATAAAAGAAATCTGCACACGCGCACGCATCACGCGCCCGCAAATGGAACGCGTGTGATATACGTCCCAAATTTAGATGTAACCTTAGCATATTCGGTACCCAGATCCCAGATAGTTAAAATAATTAAAGGATTGCGTGCGCGGGGCACATTTTTCAGAGGACGACACCGCCAGCCATTTGTCCCCGACGTGGAAATCGCACAGATCATACTTCCTCGTTCACTAATCCCAGATATCAAGATGTAGACAGCGTGCACGTTATCTCGCCCTTGAGTGAAAACAAAAAACTAGCCCGGTAATTATACGGGGCATACGTAGATAGCCACATCCGCGCCGCTCTATTTGAATAATTGCCTAATGTTATGCGTGCATTGGTGTAGTTGACGTAGTCTCGATCCCGTTATCTTTCTCGTGGGTTGGTCCCGCACTTCACGAGTTACCGGGGAGTTAGCTTTTTATTTAACTTAGCCTGGCTAATTAATTTAGCCCGGCTAAATACGAATAAGAGTAACGTCGCTCACGTGAAGCGAGCGACGCGCGCGACGGGTTAAATTGGTGGAACGCTCGACACGGCGAGCGAGAGAGCGAGCGAGTGAGTGAGCAAACATTAGACTGGAATCTCGGATGCGCCCCCTTTACATTGTCGCGAAACATTTGCTCGGCAGGATCGCGGAATTACGATTACAAGCGGTTACGCCATTCCGCGGGACCGGAGATCGGCCGTGACACATTTTATCGTTCTCATCTTCTCCGGGGCTTCTGTCCCGCCGAACGCTCGTTCTCGCCGGCGCGGAGGGAGGATAAATTTGGACGAGGAACGAGTAACGCGCTACCTCGAGCTTTATCAGTCCGCAAATTTATGCAATCTCCCAGCCCTCCCCCACC